ATGGGTAATTTCAGGAACCCACTAAAAAAATTACATTTATCTCAAGGTATTACAGAAAATACGATTAAAAGTATGATTACTTGCCTTTTCCTTAACATTGTCAAGAGATGAGGGATTAATCACTGAAAAGCAAATAAGAAAAACATCTGTCTGAGGATAACTCAATGGGCGAAGTCTATCGTAGTCTTCTTGGCCAGCAGTATCAAAAAGACCAAGAGTAAAAGGATCTCCGCCAATCATAACAGTTACTGCGTAATTGTCGAAGACCTAAAGAAAAAGTTAAAACGGTTGGGAAAGGAATTACTGTTGGTACATATTCGGTAGGAAATTTGTTAGTCGTATATGAAATAAGCATGCACGTCTTTCCAACTGCCCCATCGCCAACAACTACACACTTGATGGTCTGCATCATAAAGGAGAGCGTAGATCCCGCAAGTATAAATAAGCAGCGACTTCAACAAGCTTTGCTACAGTTTTTGAAAGTAAAAATATAATAAAATAAAAGTTATCAGGAATTTTTTAATTAAAAAAAATACCATATTATTGGTGCACAACTATTTTTTGTTCGACTTCAGGATATATTGTGTTGGATTGTCCTCGTTTTCGCAACTTGGTCGGATTGTCAAGGACATCTTGTTAAATGTACCTATCCATGCATCCTCTTCTATAATATTTATGCTTTATAGCATTATATCATTGTCTTGGTGCATTTCCAGATGTTTCATCGGCATCGTCAGTGAGAAGCGTCATCGTTAGCAGAGTTACAACTTATCAAAGTAAATAGGGAGGGCAACTCCCCTGACCAATTGTATATACAACCGTTGTGGCTTCACTTCTCGCCTCTAGCCTTTATCCAACCTTCTAGTGCTGCATCTATTTTTCTCAACCACACTTAATTACGCTTACATAGTAAAGCATAATAGTTAAATAAACTTTATATCAATTCTGGTATTTTCTGCCAGCTATTTTTCGACATTATTCATTAAACGTTATAAAAATTTCACAAATAAATTAGTTTTAATAACATTTAAAGGACATATGTGCTTTGAAGAATCGTTCGATGAGCTAATGCAACTGAACTTTTAATTTATAACTAAAAGTAGATTAGGAAGAATTCGTAAATCTTTCTTTC